TGCCTATACTCCCAGTGGAAACTTCTGCAGCGTAGGGACTGTGTCTTCACACTTGAGCACAGCTTGGTTTCCCCTTAGAGGTTTTGTAAGTGACCCTCTGACCATTCCTGTGACTTATCTCTGAATCCGACCCAAGTCCTCTCTCCTATATGCATAATTCATCATTGGTCCACCTCCCCGACGGCATCAGAATACCCCGATCCCTGCAATGGTCGAATGCGCCTTCCAGCACAAGACTGGGACCACTCTTATCTCTTCAAACATCACTGGTCCTGGACTCCAAGGGGCCAAATTTCAAAGCGCCTTTTCCTGTGGGAAGCTAACAACAGTTATTCACAGTTTCCCAGTTCTGTGAACTCTTCAAGGACAAATGACAGATCTGGATAGAGCCAGAAAGCTCCCAAGAATTTAATCAAGAGCAGCGAAGCGTGAGTCTTCCCCTAGGGGTAGTCACCTGAGACAGGTTGGTTGTTCTAACTGCAGAGACAGTATTAACCTGTTGCTTTCAACTGTGCTGTGTCGCATATTTAAATCTGCTCACCGGGGATATGGTGGTACATTGATATACCCTGGTTGACACAATTCCCGAATCCAAGCCAGAAAACATTGGTGTTTGTGCAATTGAAAGCGAAGAAGGGCCAAGAACGTTGGGAAATTCTAAAAGAATTGAAATTTCAGGCTTGTATCTCAAAATGTATTCAAAAAGAATCATCTCTTAGAATGCAAAATTTACATGGCTTGATAACTCGAGGCCGTAGCATGAGGCACATACACAAAACCGGAGACAGACTGTTGCATACTGGGGAACAGATTTAAGAAAATACCAGGATTCTCTGAGTGAGAAAGTTATTGAGCCAAAGTGATGCTGGGTAAATTCAAGTTTATATTTTTCTTTTTTGAGGGGGAGATTTCGCACTCCTTTCCGCCTCAGTTTCCCTGTTTGTACAATGGGTGAACTGGACTTGATGAGCCCTTAGAATGTTTACTTAAAAAAAATTAGTCTCAGCACTGTTTTTTGATGGGAAGATATTGGGTTGAGTTTTATATTAACAGCAAGAGCCCTCAGGGTTTTCCAGAAGCAACTACTTGGAGTACAACCTCTTTGGATTCCCAATAGTCTTGAAGTTGCCCATTGTTTGCATTATTCTTGGTTTCTTTCTACTATTCTTCAAACAGAACTAGGGAGTTTCATGTGCATAGGCATCACTCCCTTGGTTTGCTTGTGGATTATGACAAGGCAATGGCCAGGATGGCGACCTTCATTCTCTGAACATCTTCCATAACAAACTCAGCAAGGATGCTTAGGATCATTCCGTCTGAAGCAGAGAACAAACTCCAGTGAGCCTTTTGACCATAAGGTTATTTGTTGTTTATGATTTTGACTTTTCTAGGTGCATTCCCTCCTACATATCTCCATTCTAATTTTTCCTTCATCCTTTTAATTTGCTTGAAAACATTTGTTTTTGTTGTTTTGTTTTTCAAATTTCCAAAAACCTCTGCTTGTTTAAGATGACTTATGAACTATATGATCAAGCTAACCACTTTTGGCTGTCTAGAACAGAGCTAATATTATTCATGAATTATGAACTATATGATCAAGCTAACCACTTTTGGCTATCTAGAGCAGAGCTAATATTATTCACGAAATTATATGTGTGTGTGTGTGTGTGTGTGTGTGTGTGTGTGTGTGTGTGTATTCAGGAAATAGAACAGATTGGAAGGTCTAAGGCTTTTTCTCTTCACTTTGGGCTTTACCCTAAGTCACCACAGTTGTGTACTTTCTTTTCTCAACCTATAAAATCTGAATCATCTTAGTGGCCCTGAGATATATGTAGATGGTAACTTTGGGCTTTCCCTCAACCCCCTTCTCAAGATGAACATCGCTCGCACCTCTAAAAAATGCCCTACTGATGTGGGGAAAAGAGAAAGTGGTAAACAGAAATCTTTCAAACTAATTACGATAGACAACTATACTCAATTAATTATTGGTCAAACATTGCTTTCTGTGCCAATAGTGACTTGAACTAACAACAAAATGCATATTCTGACATTTTGTTTTTCTTGGGCCTTACAGCAACTAATCCGGAACTACTCTTGAGTTCTTGTTAGAACCCTAGGAGTTAATTCAGCTCTAGGGAGAAAAGTCCTCGGTTGCCTTAAAGTGGCTAGCCTGAAGTAAGTCAGTCAGGAGTTAAACCCAAAAGTGCTGACTTTTCCAGATATTCTGAACTGTGTGATCTCACTTAATATTTTAAGGTCTCTTACCCCACCTGCCAAGTGGAAGAAAGAGGAATGTATGGAGGACGCTGGAGTCAGCTGAAGGTGATTCCGAGTACTATCTTGCCACTTTCTACCTAGTGACTTGGCTCAGCTTCCTCAACCCAGAGCTCCAATAGGGTGCTTGAAGGGGTGTCAAGTGTACCAAGACACTGATGCCCTTAGTCTCATCTAAGGGCTAGGCACTCGGGAGGGGCAGGGAGGGGTGGGGACAGTTTCATTCTGCTGAAAATGCTCCTCCCCAGATATGCATGCATTTCAAAAGAGCAGAAGAGCTAGGTAAAGCAACCGTGGGCTTTGTTTCTGAGGAGGAGGTGACTGAAAAACCAGTCCCCTGCCCCACACAGTCCCTGACTCCCCATAACATTTGGGGGCCATCAACTGATCTCGCTGTGGCCAAGAGGCCATGATGGATGTGTGTATTAGGGAGGGGTGTGTTCATCACTTGGACTTTGGAGAAGTTTCCTGAATGAGGTCAACTCTCCAGTTCATATTTCTGAGCCACACTTTGTCCCAGTAATCAATCTGCCAGTAGATCTTATGTGTTCTGCCTCTTCACAATCTCCTAACTAGCTTTCCCAGCAATGGTCTTACCCACCTCAATCATCTTGTATTTTGCAGATGAAGCAATCTTTTAATATGATCTTACATAATTTCCCACCGCTCAAACTCCTTAGCATTGCACATGATGTCCTTCATCACATGGTCTCACTCTGCAGCTCATCTCATCTTTTTTCACCCCTCCCCATACCACCAACTTCCAGCCACACCAGCTTGGTATTCCCTGTATATGCCACACTCTCTCATTCCTTCGTATTTTTGTAAATGTCATGTCCTTGTTCTGGAATGCCCTTCCTCCTGCTGTCATCCTGTCTACCCAAGGAGTTTAGGATCATACTTCCATGAGGTCTTCTGTAGGCAAAGTAAGATCTCCTTCCTGTGCACGCAATGATTATATTATGACTACGTTTCCGTGAAACTGTTTCTATTCAACACGGTATTTATCCTGCTAGAGTGTCAGAGCTTGCTTCTATGTATATACTCCCTAAACTGTAACCATTAGGTGTTATTCTGTAAGTACCCAGGACCTAGCACAGTTCCCAAAACATTATAGGTGCTCATTATTAGCTTGCTGAAAGGCAAATGAGGAAAAAAACCTGTATATATAATAATAGCATTAATGAGAAGGACAATAATAAAGAGAAGAAAAATAATAGTCATCATCAGCATCTTAAATGGTAGAATCAGGTGGAGTGAAATTTGGGTCAAATTCAGGATTAAACTGCTGAGACATATAAGCAATCCAGTGAGAACTCTGAGAAGGAGTTAAGAAATCTTCAATCCATAGAGGCCACAAGACAGGAAAAAGGCAAGCATGAGAGTTAAAGTGGAATCCTGGGGAAGCCACTGAGCTGTGAAAAGGTCCAGTGTAGATTTGTAACCTAGTGCAGAAAAATGCATTGCTGAGGAAAGGAGAGGGACATGCATGAGAAATGTGAGTCTCAGCTCTGCAGAGCAAAGCATGCTTAGCCATTACACATATTATATTTTTTTGTTTTAAATTCAGAGAAAACTCAAAGCCGCCAACAGCACCAAGGTTCGAAGAACCATTCACAAGTGTCCCATTTACTGTGCTTCCTCGAGATGTCAGTCCTGCACCTCAACTGACTTGCTGTGTTTTCTTACATAAAAGAAAACCCATGTTCATGCCTTAAGTATCAGAAAGAAAAGAAAAGAAGAGAAGAGCTCTGCTGATGGTTCATACCTTCCCAGATACCCCTATCTCATTGTTTTTAGGAAAATCGAGTTGACTTAGTGAGGCTACATTTTCACAGAACAAGGTAGTGTAAGGCAATCCAAGCCAGGCTCGTGACTGAAGGACACCCGGTGCCAGGCTGGGTAAGTCCTTGTCCACCACGGCATCCTTACCACAGTCATTATGTTTTGCTCCATTTTGTGTGCCTCACTGAAGGAAAAAATAAACCCACATTTTTCCCTTGAGCTTGCCAATTGCAGTAAACAATTGCATGACTATACACAATCTATAAGGCAGAGATGTTTGGAGAAGGGGGCTCCATGCCCATTCATTCTTAGGCTCGTATAAAGCAGAACAATGAATAGTGCCACTCATTGACACAGAGTATTTGTCACAGCAGTATTTAGGGAGCTGAGCAAGTGTTGAGAAATCCAAATGCATTCACTAGGAATAATGCAACATTTCAAAAAAGGAAGGAAAGGCATTTTGATGAAGGTAAGCGAAATGTCTTGCTAACAACAACTTTCGCCCAGATAAGCCTTCAAGCCTTTTCCATACTAGACCTCACTAGCACATTTATCCTCCACCTAAATGATGGAAAAGGCCTGAGAGAGGTTCTGCTATTATGCAAGGTCTTATAGCAACTGAAGATGCTATCAGAGGCAGAAGCCTTACACACTTGTCTACAACCAAGAAGAGAACCCTGGCACCAGGTGGGAGGCGACCACAGGTTTTAACTGCCCTCCAGCTCGGAAATGGCTGAAGGAGGGCAAGAGGAGGCTGACAGCTCCTAATCCACATGTGACCAGAAGATCAAGAGCATCAAGTGAGTGAGTTAAAACCACACCTTTTTCCCCTGGGGAGTGAAGGACTATTTAGATTTGAGGTGGAGGAATAGGGCTAACTTTCCACCAGAATTGACTCCTTTTTCTCTACACAGGGTCAATATGACATTTCTCCCCCTTACCTCATGGATTGCCAGAGCGAACACTGAGACAAAAATTCAATTTCTTGATCCCCAAGAAAGCAGTCAGATTCTTGATGTGAGTGAGTCCTTGTACCTTTGGTCCAAGAGATTGGGTGTCCAAGGTGAGGGTGCCTGAGGTCCTGTCGGCTTTTATGAGTCTGTGGGTCGGCTCAGATTGGCTGCCTGCTCATCTATATGCAACAGTTCTCAAAGAACATAGTTTACTTTAGAACCAGATCCAACTAGAGTAGGTGTGGCAGTAAAACGGGCTAGATATGCCAGAGGTGTTGAGCTGCCAAGGCTAATTAAGAAAGATTTGTATATGGAGCCATGGCTTGGAACCAGAAGGCCAGTTTTTTCAGGCTGACAGTGTCTTAGTCAAATGGGTGAGGTTGAGCACATGCACACCTAGGCTAGATGCTACCATGTGGGGATGCTGGGGGGCTCTAAGGAACCACTCCAAAATTTCTCTTGTTCAGTGACTCACTCAGTGGCCATAGAAGGTCAGGCTGACCTAACCGTCCCTTGGCCACTCATGTCTCTCACTGGTCCCAGCACAATGTAAGGCTTTATAACTGAGACTTTATAGCAAAGTGGACTGGAAACGAAGCCCTGCTCCACCAACTATGTCACTTGGGGAGAAGTTCTTAGCCATTTGCCCTCAGAACTCCAGGATGAGATAATGCATGCAATGCACTTGACATACACTTGGCATTGAGTAAAATACTCATGAAAATCAACATACCCCGAGTATCAGCTTTCTTTCCTCCTTCCCACCCCAATCCCCTGGTGCTATCTCCCTCTCACTTACACTGAGAGAGAGATGCTCTCATCTCACACCGTTCTGAGATGCTGTCTTTTCAGTGTCTTGCCCTGCGATGGTGTGCTCCATGCACCATCAGTGGTCACCACCAGAGCATCAGAAAACAGTCTTCCTCATAAGCTGTTGTTCTGTTTTCATAGAGTAGTGTAGAGTAAATATGCATAGGCCACATATCCCTTCACTGTCTGTCCCTTTCTCCACTGAACATGACAAAAGATGATATAAGGCAGCAGTCTGCAACCATTTTGGCACCAGGGACCGGCAATCCTGTGAGAATCTAATGCCTGATGATCTGAGGTGGAGCTGAGGCGGTGACGGTGACGCTAGCACTGAGGAGTGGCTGCAGATACAGATGAAGCTTCCTCTCCTGCCCGCTGCTCACCTCCTGCTGTGTGGCCTGGTTCCTCATGTACCGGTCTATGGCCCGGGGATTAGGGACCCCTGATCTAAAATATCAGACTTAAAAGATTTAAAGAGCAGGAGAAGCTGGGAAATCACGCTGGAATTCAAAGGCCACATGCCAGTGACTCTGACACCACTCAATTACACGGGAGAATTAATACATCATGATTTTCATAGTGAGGATAAGATGGAAACGAATGCATAATTAGATGGGAAAAGGAAATTTTGTTTTCAAACACTTATAAGTACAATCAGTTGTAATAGGAAAGGAAAAAGAATAGCGTAGTTTAAGTAAAACAGCTTATAGTAGCATTTCTGTGTGGAGTTTGATTCTAAGAGAGCTGTTCTTGGGAGCAGCAAAACCCTGGGGGCATGGAGAGGCAGGCAAAGGCGGAGTAGGGGGAGAACATGAGGGGAAATTCAAAGCTCATGCTAAACACAACTTTTCCCCTTCACGGAAGTTTTCCTGTGGGCACACCAGTTCTCACCCTTGCTCCCCTGTCCCTAGGCTCACCGCCCTCTCCAAAAGTACCTCCTTTCTTCATACTCCACTATGTGGTCCTCTACCTACCTCTCTGGTATCCCACCCCCACCTCTCAGGATAACCTCCTAACCTCAGATTCACCCCACCCCACCTCTGAACAGAGCATCTCCCCAAGACGGGTGTGGGGCCATGGGAATGCGCAAATGCAGGGAGAGTGGGTGTCCAGGGCCCTGGTGCTGCACTCTCAGATGACTGAGCATGATGCCAGCACCATAGGGTCATTGCTGAGGAGGGGAGCGCTCTGCTGAGAGTGACTTTGGCTGAAGAACTCTGCATGGTCCTGTGGAATCTTCCCTAAACTCCAGGGCAGGCTAGGATGCATCAACCTTCCCTCCCTCTTTCCTTCACTCAGGGTTAGCCTTGATGGTTCTCCTAGCTCCCACTTATTTCCTCTTGCCTGAGTATTTCCCCATCTATACACCATTAGCCCCATCTTGATGTCTGATTCTCTGAGCCCTGGACTGGAACCTGGGTTATTCCGACAGAGCGGGAGCTATCAGAGGGCTTCGGCAGGAGAGACACTGGGGTCTAACAGGACAATTCAGGAGAAGGGCTTTGGAGATCCAATTTCCAGAGCTGGGGCCCAAGCAGGCTAACTTCTGAGTGTGAGTTGTGGGTATGTCTTTCATTCTCCCCGTTATCCACCAGATGACTGGAAATTCATATACACATAACAACCCATGCTTCTCAAAGGTAAACATTAATTCTCAGAGACAATACAAAAATAAACCCAAAATAAGGAAAATAAATGTTTTCTTAAGTGCCTCATTCATTTGTAAGGCAGGTACCTCCAGCATGATAGAGTAAAACGTCGCCTTATTATGCAGACTAGGTAGTCAACTCACCCAGGTTCCTGCCCCTTGCCCCCATCTCCTAACCGTCCCTTGAGACCTGCCAGGAAGGAGAAAGAGCCTGTTGCTAAGCAACAGGGAAGGCAGTGCTGATATATTCATTCTTCTATGTCTACAATCTTGGTTATAATGTGCAATTGAAGACATTCTACCTGCTGCACCTCTGTAAAACCAACGTGACTCATCCTCTCAGTCTCTCCCTTACCCACAGTCTTCTGTTCCACCCGTCCGCTGCTTCTCTCACCTCTGCTGTCACAGAGTGAGACCTCATCAGCGTGCAGTCTGTGCAGTGAGGAGAGTGCCTCTCCCTTCTTTCCCTGGCTCTGTCCAGATTGATGTGCTAACTAACCCTGCTGGTGTCCACTGGCATTTACTCCTCAAAGCTCCCAGAGCCTCCCACTTTATGCACCTGAGCTGCAGGACCAGGTCTACAGAGTGATTTTCTTTGACTTTTCTTTAAAGAAATTTGGAACATTTCAAAGACATTCTTCGATTCATGACTAAGATTCCAACAGGAGCAATCTGGAAAAACAATAGGCATTTAGATGTGCATGTCTGGGAAAGACAGGGCATTCCATCCACACAAGGGCAAGTTCCATGGGGCAGGAGCAGACCACAAGGAAAGGAGGCTGGGCTTTGCAAGACAGAACCAAGTTCTGGGTCCCAGGGGTAGGTGGATCACTGGGGCGAGAGCAGCCAGTCACAGGAACGCTGCCAGGGTGAGTTCTTCCTGGTCTGAACAGAAGGGAAACAACATAAGGTGAGCACCAAGTCTTTACTAAGTGCTTTGCACACATTACCTCAATTCATCCTAACAACCTTTGAGATTGCCGTTATTGTAGTATTTGTACCAATAGAGAGATAAAGACACTTGTCTCTGGGCACATCAAGCTGGGGGTCAAATTCGGGCCCACCTGTGATGTGCAGGCTCCTCCCACCCATTACTTCATTGACAAGATTATGGATTGGAGGGAAAAGATAAGAAAGGTAGAGGGTCTGATGCAGGAGACTTAGCATCCATGTGCTAGGTTGTGGCAGCCCTGAGGATGGATCCAGCCAACCTCCAACTATAGGTGGTGGAGTGGGCTGAGGCACCAGCCTGCACCTGGTGGCATCCATCATGGTCTCTGCTCTGAGGCTTTGTTCCCATGGGCTGCTCCAGCCACTGACTGAGTGAGGCTGGAACACCAAGGCAGGTTGGCCCCTGGAAGAGGTGGGGCTCCTCTTAGCTCCAGGACAGCAGTCTAGGACATGTCCCTTCCAACCTTCCCTCCTTGTCTCCCTCACCAGTGGTCAGACTTGCCTCACGGCCTTCCCGGGTCCCTTTCTCTCATTTCTCTCAAGTTTACTTCTATCCTGGCATCTGCTTCTTGGAGGACCCAGACTAGCACATAAAAGTCTAGGAAGAAAGAACTGAAAAAAAATAGAGGGGAAAAATTATAAAATAAAGATCCATTTTATTAAATTCTCAGAATTAAAGGCCATGAGTTTCCAAATCGAAAGGGCTCATTAAGAACCCAAAACAAAAAATTTTAAAACACCCACATCGAGGCAATTTTATGAAATTTCAAAACACCAGAGATAAAGGGGAAAAAATTCATTACACATAAATGATTATGAATGATTTTGAACCAAAAGGGACCTAAATCTCCAAGGGCAACATAGAATGGTACAGAACAGTGGAGTAACCCCAGCTGAAATTGTCAGGAGAAAGTGATTCCAGGCCTAGTCTAATTTGCAACTAAATGTGTAGGTGGAACATCAACAATTGGTCCTTGCAATCTGTGAGGTCAAGCAAGGGTTGCCTCATCTCTACACAATTCCATTTGGCTCAAATGCTATTTCTCATGGGTTGTTCTCCAGGAAGTTACTCGAATATGCATTTGCCAAAATAGAAGACGAAACTCTGAAAGAAGGATACAAGAAATCACAGTCACAGGGACTGAGCATAGGTAGGTATAAAGAGGCTTGCTGGGTGATGGTGGAGGGCCAGCCTGGAGGACATCTGCCCTGTGGCATCAAAACAGCCAGGCCAGAGGGCTGGCTGCCTCTCAGAGAAAATGGGACAGAGTCACCCAAAGTATGTTAAGAACCATAGGTATATGGTGCTGAAGGAGATTTTTTCAGAACTAATCAGTGATAGTTACATAGAGAATCAGGTAAATGAGAAAATTGTTAAATTTACTACATGTAAACATTTATAAAGAAGAGAAAATGTATTTGTAAGACATTAACTGGCTCAGGTATAAACAATATTTAGAGAGTCGTAATAATTTAAGCATTGAGTTTTGAGCTAATAAAATTTTTGCTGTAATTTTTTAAAGAGGGCATAGAGGAGGGAAGGGTAGTGGGAACAGGGTGTGGGAGAGCTCACCTCCCAGATGAGGACATCAATAGACAGTGCCTAACATGGAAAAATCAATATAGAGCAGTTTAAGCCCTTCATTTAAAAACAAGAAGGCCAATATTAAAAGAAAAGAATGTCTTTTACCAAAGCTGCAGGATCTGAAAGCGGTTCCTAGTAACTAATGCTGAATGACCCAGGTGTGTTTGTATCCAGCTTGTCCTTTCGGGTGGCAAGA